TATCCATTTAGGTTGTCTCCATCGCTTTACTGTTGGGTGAGCTTACAACTCTTTGTGTCTCCACTCTTATTCCTCAGAGTTTTTCTATTGTGTCAGGCAACCAGACTCCTCCTTTCTTGCTTCCTGTTGGTTAACAGTTAACAAGTCTTCTTCCATACTTGGCAATCTGCTACTGTAAAGAGCGCAGCTTTGAAACCCTAATGGGGCAGTTCTGTTCTGTCCTCTAGAGTCTCTGACTTGGAATCACCATGATGGCCAGCGACAACAACAACATTTTATTCTTTGAGTAACCTTTTTTGTTTTGAGTAAGTTTTTTGATGAGGGTGAATATATGATCCATTTGGGTGTTTTAAGTATGTTTTTCTTACCTACCAGAAATTTTCAATTTCACCAAGTAGCAGGAGGAAAGGGAGAGATGGAAAAGAAGATGAAGTAGCCCCAGGCCTTCTCTTTCTTCCTTCATGGTATTAACTGGCTTATTTGTCACTGGACTTGTGTGGTAGCATTGATCCTGTGTTTTATGAAGTTTACATCCTTTTTCTTCAGAGACCATGTGAAAGCAATGGAAGAAAGAAAATTACTTCATAGTTTTTTGGCTAAATCACAGAAAGGACTGCCACCTAGGAGAATGCAAGACAGTTACACTGAAGTTCTCTTGCCTTTGGGCAGTCAGCCTGAATTGCGAGAGAAATATTTGACTGTTCAAAACACTGTAAGGTAACAGCATAATCACTATTTTTAGTTGTGCTATTTGTTTTTCTTTTATTACTTTTAAAATAGCAATGTTGAGATATAATTCACTTACCTTACCATATAGTTCACGAATTTAAACTGTGCAGCGTTTTAGAAATATATTCACAGAGCTGTGTAGGCATCACCATAATCACTTTCAGAGCACCTTTGTCACCTGATAGCGTGTTATTTATTTTTAAAAGAAGATAATCATGATTTTAATTTCACTAACATACTTTTTTTTTTTATTTCACAGATTTGGCAGGCTTCTTGAGGATCTTGACAGCTTAGGAGGTACTGGTATTGTTTTAGTATTTCTAATAGCTACTTGGGTGCTTCTAGTTTATTGGACTCCTGGTGTGGTCCTGTAGGATCAGCACTGGACTGCAAACCACAAGATTGGCAGTTCAAACCTACCAGCTGCTCCTTGGAAACCCCATACAGTGTTAAAATGATTTGGAACCAACTCGATGGCACTTACCAACACAACAATAAATAACTTTTTAAAAAAAAACTTACAGCAAAGTCACCAATACAGTAATAAATGTCTCCCACAGTCACGTGAGCGAAAGTTACTGACATGATGCCATTTCACCCCAAACATTTGCATTGCACTGATACATTCAACTTTTCCCAGTGGTCCCAATAATGTCCTTTGTAGCAGAAGGATCCAGTTCTGCATCACATGTTGCATTGAGTCCTTATATCAGGAGTAGTTCTTAAGTCATGCCTTTACTTTCCTGACTTTGACACCGTTGAAGGTTGTAGACCATTCATTTTGTAGACTGTCCCTCAATTAGGTGTTCCCTCATGATTAGATTCAGGTTATGCATCTTTTCCAGAAGCCTCACAGAAATGATGCTACATTCTTATTTCATCCTACCAAATCATGTATGATTTTGATTTGTCCAGTTACAGATGATGTTAACTTGGATTATTTGATTAAGGTAATGTCTGCCACTGTAAAGTTAATCTTTTCTCCTATCTAATCAGTAAGCAGCTTGTGGGGAGGTACTTTGAGATCATGAAAATATTCCGTTCTTCATCAAACTTTCAATTCATTACTTTTGTAAATCAGTATGGGTGCAGGGATTCCTATTTTACTGACTAGGTTATAATCTGTTACTATCATCTATCTATCTATCTATCTATCTATCTATCTATCTAATCTGGTAGCGTAGTGGTTACGAATCGGGCTGTGAACCGCAAGGTCAGCAGTTCGAAACTACCAGCTGCTCTGCGGGAGAAAGATGAGGCTTTCTACTCCCGTAAAGATTTACACCCTCGGAAACCCTGTACAGGGTCGCTATGGGTCAGAACTGACTCGACAGCACTTAACAACAACATATATATTTAATATTTTTATTTTGCAAAATATTTCAGTAACACAACAGTTTCTGTTTAAAGAATCTCACATGTGTAGTTTAGTGACTTTAAATAGTTTTATCATGGTTCACTATCACCATTAGCTGTTTCTGAAGTTTTCACCACCTTTAATAGAAGCTTAGTGACCCTAAGTGATATCAAGCTTGTGGTAAGCTACCACATTCATATATAATATTCCCTTAGCTTAAAGAAACCATTTTTAAAAATAGTTATTGTAGTTTGATGGAATAAATGTAAAACTTTCTTCTTTAGATGTAGATATGGTTTCCTCTCCCCCTCATCCCCTCCCTGCCCTACACTATTAGTTCTCTCTCATTTTTCCCCTCATTCATCTTTGTTTATTCAGTGGGTGAGGGAAGCACAGGCTGACAGAAGATGGAATTGCAGTTGCTAGTCCACAAAAAGAAGCCCTGGCAGCATAGTAAGCAACTCCAAGTCAGCAGTTCTAATCCACAAGCTGCTCTGTGGGAGAAAGACGAGGCTTGCTGCTCCGGTGACGATTTCCAGCCTTGGAAGGCCTTATACAGGATTGGTATGAGTGGTCAGCAGCATATAGCAGCAGCAGCAGCTACTCACAAAAGGAGCTCGTGGCTAAGATGAGCTAAATGAGATGAACCCCTAAAAGGCTAATAATAGCAATAATGACAATGTAGTAACAGCCTCTGCCTATTTTTACTCAAAAATATGATCTGCTTAATGTCAAAACAAATTCCAACAGATTTATAGGTTTGGGGGCTGAAAACGTACCCCCTCCATCCAAATCTTCTCATTGACAAGTGTGGAGAACTTTTTATTTTTCCTTTAAGGTCTTTTTTTTCAAAGATTAAAAAAACAAAAAAAACAACCCTTTTTATTGTGAATTGAGTTGAGGCTTACAGAGCAGATAATCAATTTATCTCTCTCTTAAAACAAACAAACAGTAGAATCCAAGGGGATCTGCTGGATCAGTTAAATTCAAAGTAAAGAGGTCAGCTCAGAAGGTTATGGCCACTGTTTTGGGGATATCAAAGGGATCATCTTGATAGATTTTCTTGAAGTACATGGGGCGATTACATGGGCTTATTAGGAAGATGTTTTAAGACAATGGGAAACTGTGTTGGCGAGAAAAAGACCAGGAAAGTGGCACCAACAGATTTTCTTCGATCATGACAATGCATCTGCTCATTTACTGAGGTTAGCAAGGGCTGTCCTAGTAGAATTTCATTGCGAAAGCTTACCCCATCCACCCTACATCCCTGATCTTGCCTCTTTAGACTTGTTTATGTTCTCCAAACTCAAAATGCATTTAAAAGGAACACAACTTGAGTCCCTCAAGGATTCCAAAACTACTGTCTTGACATGGTGTAAATTGGAGAGCACAAAATTCTTTGGATGAACGGTTAGATGGAAACACTGCCTTCAAAATATACAGACCTGAAAAAAAAAAATTACATATATATATATATACAGACCTGGTTGGAGGCTATGTTGAGGAACAGTAGTAGCTTTACATTTTTATATTTTTGCTTAGTAAGTTTTCTGTGATTTTGTAGCAGTACCTTTTGATTTACCTTCGTGTACACACTTTGATGAAGATCAAAGAGCACAGCTTTCGGTATGGATTACATCTCAGTGTAAAGAAAACAAAAAATCTCACCACTGGTTATTTCAATAACCTCATATGCATGTGAAAGCTGGACAATGAATAATGAAGACCGTAGAAGAATTGATGCTTTTGAGTTATGGTGTTGGAGGAGAATATTGAAAGTGCCATGGGCTGCCAAAAGAACCAATAGATCCATTTTGGAAGAAGTGCAGCCATAGTGCTCCTTGGAGGCCAGGATGGCCAAACTTTGTCTCTCATACTTCGGACATATTGTCAGGAGGGACCAGTCACTGGAGAAGGATACCATGTTTGGTAAGGTGAAGGGTCAGAGAAAAAGATGGATTGGCCAAGTGGTAATAGTAGTGAGGTTGGCTCAGTATCGGGCAGTGTTTCATTCATAGGGTCGCTATGAGTTGGTACTGACTCAATGGTACCTAATAACAACATAAACATACCCCCAGGCTCTTCCATCTTTAAATGAGAACTCACTAAAACCTTCCCCTCTTAATAAAACTCTCTGTCTTTCTCCTTCCTTTTATACCTAATATTCTAGAAAGACTTGGGGGGGAAAATCATTTGCTCTCATTGCCTCTACTTCATAGTCTGTTGTGTTGTCCTGGCTTCTGCCTTTATGTGCTACTGAATCGACTGTTGCCAAGTTCACTATTGATTCCTTATTGCACAATCTAATGGGTATTTTCAGGGCTTACCTGCAGCTTTTAATATTCTTGAACTCATCCCTAGGGATTTGGTGACATTTCTTCTTGCCTCTCTGGCTGCTCCTCCCCAGTGTTCTTTGTTGTTGTTGTTGTTAAGGGCTGTTGAGTTGGTTCCAACTCATAGCAGCCCTGCATAGGGTTCTTGAAGCTGTAAATCTTTATAGGAGCAAAAAACTTCATCTCTCTCTTGTGGAACAGCTGGTAGATTCAAACCACTGACCTTGTGGTTCCCAGACCAGTGCTTATCCTGCAGAGCCACATCGCTCCCTTAGTGCCATTTGTAGGTTCCTCTTTATTGATCCTTTAAATGCTGGTTATCCCCAGGGTTTGGTCTTCTCCGCCCTCCCTCCCATTATTTAAACTGCACATTCTCTACAAATAACCTTATCGATTCCCCATGTTTTAGTTGCTATCAGTATCTTGAATACTTTTAAAGCTCTATTTCCTGATCTGTATTCCTGAGTCCCAGATCCATTTGTCATGTCTACCAAACATCTTCATTTGGTAGTGCCATAGGCTTTCCAAGTTCAACACTGTGAAAACTGCCCATTCTGCTCTTGAATGGTGCCACCATCTTTGCTCATCTCTGCTGGAAACCTAGGGTTATTCAAGTTTGTCAGTTCTGCCTTCTTATTCCTCTTGAATCTTTTCTCTTCATGTCTGTTGCCATAGGTGAGGCCCACTTGATTTTTTTTCTGGGTACTGCAAAGGCTTTTTTTTTTTTTTTTCCATTTTAAACAATAAGTTTATTTAAATAACAAGACACTTGACTTTAAGGGAAAACTATCTAGGATTCATTTAGAGTAATTTACCCCTACTTAAAGACAGATCGCCCTA